TAAAAGTTGAAGTATTTGCAAGATATTCACCCGGCAGTAACTGAAGTATCTAAATACCCTTGGTAGATATGATGAGTTTAAGACTGTGGGACCTGTAGTAATTGTTGTAGCCTGAAGCAGCTGTATTATCCATACAATCTGTAATAGGTGTTGTATCTGTAAGATCTGTAGTGGCTGTCGTTTCTGTTGGACCTGTTGTATCTTTTGGGTTTATAGTAGCTGTGGTATTTGTAGGACCTGTATTAGCTGTTGTATCTGCATGTGGGACCTGTAGTAGCTGTTGTTTCTGTAGGACCTGTAGTAGCTGTTATATCTGTAGGAGCTGCAGAAGCTGTTGTATATATATCTGTAGGACATGTGGTAACTGTTGTATCTGTAGGACCTGTAGTAGCTGTTGTATCTGTAGGACCTGTAGAAGCTGTTGAATTTGTAGGACCTGTAGTAACTGTTGAAGGACCTGTATCAGCTGCTGTATTTGTAGGACCTGTAGTAGCTGTTGTATGTGTAGGACCTGTGGTAAGCGAAGTATAGAAGGCTTAGCAAAGTGACAATTCAAATACTTCTCCCCTATAACATTGAAATTTTATCCAGCATTTTGGGTTGAAAACCTTGGGTCTTGAAAGCTACTCGTGGCTTACCAAAGATAGATAGTTCAACGGATGGAATTTGTACCATTTAACAAAAAACAAAACGTGTAAAACTTATGCAGAGACAACCTTACGTCATTCGGGCGAAATAGAGCTTCGCGTTTAGAGGTCCTCTATTCAAGCTTGACTCTAAATGAGGAAGGAAATCCAACTCGACTGTTAATTTTTACACGTTAAATTTGGATATCCATTGTTGCATTTTCTTTGATTCTCTACCGTGGGTTCAGTGACCAAAATTTTCGCTCATAACAAGACGCCATAGTTGAAAAGTCTTTCACATGTTTCTGCAAGGAAAAGGCCAGCGGCTGCACCAACGAGTTGGAGAGAACGGAGAAAAATACGTCCAGAGATGAGAGCCTCAAGTGCCACGGTTTTGTTTACTGGTCGTTGGTCCTCTTGCCTAACAATATTTGTTTTCGCGCCGAGATGAACCAACGTTAACTTGACCACCATGCAAATGTTCTTGCCTTGATGTGTTGCTAAGCGCTTAAGACTGTTAATGTTCTCTAAATTTATCAGAAATGCTCTTGGTTAAGAAATACCCGGTATTATGTTACCCGTATTGACGAGATGACTCAACAGTCATTTATTGTAAATGAATATGATGGAAAAATAAGCTAACCTTGTATGGCTAAGACCCCATAATTATCAGTTCACGTAATCAACCAGGTAAGTAGGAGCGATGTGACAGGTAGCAGAGGTATACTCTTCATAACAAACTTTTTTCCTGTGGACAAAAATAGACATTAAGTGAAGGAGAACAACAAAATATGAATTACATGTAAGAATTCTTTCAGTCTGTCTATTATAATCTTGTTTCCACGACCGATCAGAAGTAAAGTGAAGTAGTTCGATCATCTGACTTTTTTTGGACGAAAAAATTGTTGTGCTAGGCATTCAGCTTGAGTTTCTTTGCTGTCGAACTATTTGATAATGGTGTTTACTAAGAAGTGTACATGCGATAATTTTTTGCACGCGCTCTGTTCGGTGAAGCTTCTATCTTTAATTTTTATTAGTTCTGTTTTCTATACTATTTAAAGCTCTTTAGAAAATTGTTCACTCTATGGAGAGTCTTGCTTTAACTACATACCTAAATTTTTCGGGCATTCTGTTAGGTTTAAGGAAAAATAAAAATGTTATTCACGAGAAGGAGGTCTGCATTGAGGGTACAGTTTTCTTTACATCCAAAACAAAGCAAGTTTTCTTTTCTTCACAGAGAATTTTAAAGTTATATGTGATTCATCCCTGAACTAGTTTGTTCATAACTTTGCAATATAGAAATGTTTTTTTTCTGTCTTTTCACGAGCGTGGGACAAATAACTTTTCCGAGTCCCCACGAGAAAACAAACCTGAGGGGTTGGACCCCTGATCAGTACTAAGAACCTTCAAACGTTAGTGATAATTTTTGGAGATGATTTTATAGGGGGCGATCTTGAGGAAGAAGATGAGTCGTTTGCCAGAATGGTTGGCGACAGACGATTCTTGATCCTTGGTGAAGAGACAGCCATGCTTGATAATGAACCGCATTATCACAGTCAACTAATACAGAGCAAGTTAAAATGATTATTTTGCCTTCTACCTTTCCTACTTATTTCATCGAGTTTTAAAATACTTTGATTTTAATTCGAATTGACGGCTAACGGCAGTTTCCCCCTATATTTTTTTATTCATTCATTTATTTTTGATCTTTAGGTCTTTTTGGAATAACTTGAACAACACACAAATAACGATTTTCGTTTTGCACTTTCTTAGTATTTCTTCAATGGTTTTGACATGAAAGTCTCGTATTCCCTTCATGCAGTCAACTGAGACCAACCCATGTGAGTTACAGAAAATTAAAACGAAAGAAGCCGTAAAGTTATCTGCTATTTCAGTGGTTTTATGACAAATGAACTCTGTGTACGTCATAGAACAACTATCACAGATGATGCCATATTTCTTATCTTTCTAAATACGTCATGTCTCTCTCAGAGCAATCTTAACATCGCTTTTGGACATTTATTCTACACTTTGAAAGATTAGCTGAGTTATTCACTCCTTATACAGGAAGATTTAGAAGTCTTACCTTTTAGGTTTTTCTCCGTGAGCTTCATCGCTTTATATGACTTCACATTTTTGTGTTCTGTTCCGAACAGTCCTGGACAGGTAATTTCAGTTCATGTTTATGGCAGTCTCTCAGGATATTGAGTTTAATTGTTTATTGTATGGGACAATCACGGGAAGGTGCAGCAATTCTGTATAGAGATGGGCAATATCTCAAACTGTCAAGCTCATGATGATGAAATTGGGCCATATTGTTCACAATTGATACCGTTGTATCTGGGAGATAATGTATCCTTTTTTAGTGCAGCTGTTTGTGTAAAATGACAGTGAGTGACTCTCCGTGTGTTTTCCAACTTTGTCTAACCTAAACTAATTGCTTTAACTCTCAAGTGAGTTGCTTTACTAATCAAAGCTAAGATAACACAACATATTGCTATCCGGTGAAACAAATAATCCAAATTTCAATCGCTTGAAAAGATTCAAACAGGTGGAGCTGAGAAGGGAACCCTAAAATTAACTGAACTTCTTAACGAAGTGATACTGCAAGGTGTTTGATTTCGGACAAGTTGTAGTGAACGATTCTACTTTAATTACTTTAATTGTTTTGGACATGATCAACCGTTGGCTTCATACATTGTTTACTTTTAATCCATAATGACTGAGGGTCCCGCAGTTTGTTTCTACACCCTCTCTGAAACAGATGGTGCCGAAATGGTTGTTTCCATTACTGTGAGAGAGCGATAAACATTTTCAGCTTTAGATGAGTTACAACAATGGTCCACTTTAATAGTACAAATAGCGTCAAAACGCAGTTGTTATCCATCAGCCCGGTAAAGTCGTCATTGAATGATCGAACCTCTTGCCTTCGACATGTTAGCATTTCGCACTAAGAATGTTAATAAAAAATGATCATACAAGGGGTGAAATCATCGTCAGTCCTGGCTAATCTACGCCGCCAACAAATAAAATATTCGTTATTATTTGGCAATATGTTTTCACACTCTCCAAATAGATGTCTCAAACCGTGGCAATAAAAAAAAATAAAATGCCGAGGAAACACCAAGAGTGTTGTGAAAGATCTTTCATGTGTAGACGATAGCATTGTGGATCAGCTTTGAGTGCTTCATTTCCATAAGCAAGTCAGACTAGCTATCTCACAGGGTTCCTTGCTTCTACAGTAGATTGAAATGAGAAGAAATATTTTATAAAATTTAAGTTGATTTTATTGATCGTGATCCTGATGTGTAAATAATTTTGTTATGAGGAAATTTCTCAACTATGAAGATAGACTGATAAATTTACAGATTGAAATAAAGTTAGACCTTAACTCGCCATTTACGGCCTAATGGCCTTGAAACGAGTAATGAGCTATTTTTCGATTTTAACCTCGCACGACTTCGAGTGCAAAACATTTAGAGCAATTGCAAGAAAGTGCTTCTCAGTGTAACGGGTCATCTGGGTACACGCAGTCATGCTTCTAGTTACGGGAGATGATTTTAATTAATCGTTTCTCAAGCTCGGTGTTCGAGTGAGTTAAAGTTCCAATCCCAATTCCATCATCTTTTCAAAATTAGCGACTTAAATTTCCAGTTTTATTCCCATTATTAGGGAGTTTTGGATCCACGTTTGCTTTGAATACGCGTGACCGCAGATGCTCAGGAGTTACGTAACCAGATTCTAGCGGTCACGTTCGCCATTTGCCGTCCACGTTTAAACTTCGGGCAAGGCAGTTTCAGGTACTTGAACTCCCTCGACACTTTTTTTCTTCCTGTTCGAAAGTTCTCACGTATGTCCCATAAATATATGTGAGGTGCAATCTTTTCTTTAGAACCAATCTTTTCGCTACATTTTGTGCAGACATGGACGCATAAAAAAATGCTCTCTGTATTTCGTCTTCACTGCCCACAGATCGACTTTCGTAACCTGAGAGACTCAAGCAACCGAGGCATCAACTTTAAAATTAAAAGCCGTCTCAATCGTTTTATGTTTTGATAATTGCGCTAATTACTTGATTATGCAAATCGTGATGTTGGCAATATGAACCAGACTTGATGGCTTCCGGGTTGAAAAATTGGCCAAAATGGATACTTATGCCAATTCCACACAACCTAATATTTTCAACAACGACTTATTGCGAAAATTCTCGTGAAATCGAATTCATGATATTATTAGCTCTTCATAAGGAATATCAACTAGTGACCGTGTAACCGCAGATATATTCCGGAGTTTCTCGGAAAAAGGAATACATTAACGGGTTGATATTGGCCAATAGTATGTGATGGTGGGAGCATTGTGAAAATTCTCGGAAAAAGACGAATACATTAAGCTGTAACTATAAGCCAGTAAGTTTGCTATGATGACGAAACGATTCTGAGCTTCTTACAGTCTTAGTCGGTTGTGTGGCGTTAAGCCTCTCTGATTTCGCTACATGTTTATTTTGTGAACTGTTAAGCGTACATCTACTGAACATTAGAAATGAACAAAGCTAGTCACTGCTGGCGGTGTGAGGCGCACTGCACCCAACAATGTTCACGTTGTAGAGTGGCATTTTATTGCTCTAAGGAATGTCAGAAACAGGACAAGTGGCGACATGAACCTGATTGCGACGATGCAGCGTTGAAAATGAAATGTTTGGCTTGTGGCGTTGTACACGACGGAATGAAGAAGTGTGTAAACTGCTTGGAAGCCGTCTACTGCAGCGTCGAATGTCAACGAAGCCACTGGCCTCGACACAGACCTTCGTGTCAAACTACTGTCGAAAGAGTTTTGAAACTGGTTGAAAAATTGAAAACGTTTAGTGAGTCGAAAGAGAAGACTCCTGGTCTCGCAGCCACGTATTACTGGGGCAATCAGCCGGCCGTGGACATGATCAACTTGTCAATGAATGAAGGAGAGGAATATTCCAACCCGCTCGCTTTGTTATTGTGTGGAGTCGGCGATCCCAGAAATGTTCTGCTGACCATTGCGTCTTTGCCTGATGTTTACCAAAAGCAAGTTATGTTTGTGATGAACGACATATGTCCCTGTACTTTGGCTAGAACAGTACTGCTTCTTTACATGCTCTATAAAGGTACGACTCTCTCTATCGATTTGCATTGACTAATAGCCCTTTCCATGTTGTCAGAATACAAACTCTTCGTCATGCATTTTTAAAACCAATCTCGTGAAATGCAAATGAAATCGTTAAATCATTTTTCGTTTGGTTAACCCTTGAGGTCAAAGTTATTTGGATTGATTTCAATATTAAAATCTTTTACTTGTTCTTTCTATTCAAATTTGTGTTATGTTTTAGTGTTTGCTCTTGCAGTCGAATTTATTACGCTTGCTATATGTTCTGTTGCGGTTGTAATAAATGCCGAACAAACTATCAAGTAATTGGTAAAGTTTTGAATGCTATGTCGAGGGTAATTACGTATTTTATTGGCTTTTCTTTTCTGGACTTTGTGATCGTTCTATAGAATTTTCGCTCAACCTTCTTACTCAGTCAAGGGGCAAACTGAGACTTCTCCGTTTCGTCCGCGTTAAATTGAACTCTTTTGTCCACTTTCGATTTGATTGCGTTGCATCCACTCAAGGCAATCGTGACAGACGATAGATTAGGGAAGACCACCGTTTGACTTGAAAAGCCTCAGGTTAAAAACTCTTGTTCTCTGATCGCAGGAGGAGATGATATGGCTTCAGCAGTGATTCATATCTGGTACTCGCTTCGTATCAGTGAACAAGATTTCACTTCGCTGTTGTTAGCCTTACAAGAGCTTGTGGATTGTACTGAGCTGCGTACACTCACTGAGGAATTTATGGACATTCCTGATGACCAGTTGATCCAGTTGAAAGACGTGTGGAACACGTGGCTGCGCCTAGCACAGCGCGAGGGATCTTGGGTGACGAAGCTACGACAGGAAGCCAACTCGGGTGATTTTGGAAGAGAAAAAGGCATAAATCACTACATACACGCTATTCCCAAAGAGCACAAGAATTCCACCCGAAGGTATTTTGATACCGGTATTTTTACTTCGATGAAAAATACTAAAGAGCTTAAACGCGAGAATCCCACTTTGACAGGTCGTGGATTTCAACGGTTTTTTCGGAACTCTGACTTTCACTACAGCCTACCGACCGATGTACTTCCATTTACCGGGTGGGATTACAATGCAGTCAAGAAAATCTGTCATGACAAATCTATAACGCGAATGTACAGCATCTATATATCGCTTGTTCTTAACAAATCGATGGAAAAACTCAGACGAAATCGCATTAAATGTTACTTCATTCTATCTGACTTCCTAAATGTCGAAGCTTTCTTGCCAGCAGATCTAAGATATGATTGCATCACCACTTCTAACTTATGGGACTATTATCCACTCACTGTTCTACTGACGAAATTCATGGGCATGCTTAATACTACCAATCCTTACGCGGTCATGTCCACCGAGGCAATCAACTGGGTCCGAAATTACATGCCGGAAGTGATTCACATCTTGCCTAATATGATAGGCCTGGATGACCTCGTCCAGAAAGCTTTGAAAGACACACGAAACCCTGAGCTGGCTAATTTATCTGGAATGTCGGCTGTTGTAGAATACTTGAACCTAACTCAACAATTCGTCATGTTTCTACGCGCGTCTCTCCTCTTTCCTAACACAGATGAAGATCTTGCATCGTTAAAAGGGAAAAAGAAAATCCCCTCCTTAAAATCTTTGGTTGCCTCACTTGGACTCCATCTCCGTGACTTTGTCAAGTGCGAGAACACAGTGTTCCCTTTTAAATGGGCCCTGAACTGCCGACGCCCGACCATGTTGAGGGGCTACGAGAGAACATTGGAATGGAAACTTCTCTCTGCAGATGAGGGCATTGAAAATTCAAAAGAATGAATCGAAAATTGCCCCCCTTACTTCTTACTGACCCAACAGTAAAATAGGAGCATTTAAATTTTGTTGAAATATTCGAACATGCACGAATATATACTCGAACACTTTCGAATGTATTGAAAAGGCTAGGGCCCGCTTTCTTCTCTCTTTTTAATGTGAAGAAGAAGTAAATCAATAAAAATCAGAAAAACGACCTTTACGAAATAAACTAACAAAACAAGACAATAAAATAAATACATAAATACGACGCGATAAAAAAACTTACCAAATGTTGAGGGAAATATAGGAAACACGAAACACTCGCACGAAAGGGGTTTAAACAGAACTAAAAGAAAAAAGTATTTCTAAGGGTTTGAAACGAGAAATGTGTAGGGCATAGTAATTTACATAGCGCAAAAATGACACTGAATAAATGAATGCTGAAGTGAAAAAACCAACAGAATACGCGTAAATTAGTTGGTACTAAAATAAAGCCGAGAAAGTGTTAAAGAAAATCAAGAAATCAAAAGTTCTCCACAATACATGTATATATCATTCCATCATATGAAAGCAATAGTATTTCTTGATTAAGACTGTACACTGCTGTTAGTGATGCACAAAAAATATAGACTCATAAAACATATGCATCAATTACCAACTTCACTGAGTCAGTTTTTCTTGGTCTTGGTCAAATGTTTTATCCAGATTTAATCCTTCGTTGAACACTGATGTGTCTCCTCCGTATGCTTTAATTTCTTTTCGGCCCAGTCATGAATTTTGAAGGGCTTTATAAGACGAATAATAAACATCTAGGACTCAAAAGGTGACATACTGAAAGTGCTTACTTGTGATATGGTTGTTGTTGGTATCGAAACACTTCCGAATTACTTCGTGAGCTCTTAGAAACCATTCTTGGACGAGAGTTTCCTCTTAATGTATAAACACCTTAACCTTTCCTTAACCATCCAAGAAGCTCTCTTATATTCTCTGAATTGTACTTGCGTCAGGATCACAAAGTACACAAATCCCCGGTACTTATGACATTTTATAATTCCGCAAAATGTTATGATGAAAAATGAACAATTTGCATGCAAGTTGAATACTCACTTAACTTATGCTTCAGTCCAAAACGGTATCAGCCTTGCTAATCTACCTTCGCCCTGCCAACTACCCATTAGCTTGAGGTTTCGTGCAAGAAGGCACCGAGTTCCCTAGCATTAATTTAAAAGAATTAACCCAATCCACCAACCTTTTTTTGACTTTTTAAAACATAAAGGACAAAGACTTTCCTTCATGATTGCGAAAAAATTTTAGATTTTATTTCTTTAATTTTAACCAGCATGCAATTACATTTTGTTGTTTTCATGATCATTCTTTGTCATCTCCTTTTTTTCTAGTTCTTCACTGTTCGTCCCATTAAAATTACTGTTGTTTGATAACGGAAACATACTTTCCTTGCCTACAGATACAAAGCAACTATTAGGAAAACAAAGCAAAAAAAAGGCGCAGTCTTTTGTTGGTGTTTATTTCATGTGTGCTAGTCCAAAAAAGCGTAATAATTTTTTTTTAGGAGACATATTTAGTATATTTACCTTAATTTCCTCCACGTTTTTTTAGTCTCTTGCTTTTTGAAAGTGCTGAGAAAGCCAAAGCTCCTTGACTGTCATGTGGCCGGTACTCAATATAGAAACCTGTTTATCGCTTTCCGTCGTACTAATCAACGCAGAAATTACCCTTTTTAGACAATTACCATAAAATTGAACACGATGTTCAAACCTCAGTTGGCCAAGAGGTAGCTTAGTGTCCGAGGAAATGATCAATTTTATCAATACTCACGCAAACATACAAAAGAAAAAAACAAAGTAAAAGCAGAACCATTAAAGGTAGAGATAATATGTGGAGGACATTGTACAGCGGTAATAAGCTATTCCAAGTGAAATGTTCCATGTTTCTTTTTAAATCAGTTGTAACTCTGCAACATGAATCAGAATTAAGAACATGAGAGAACTTCTTCGATGATGTGCCGTCTAAACTATTGAGATCACTGTAAAGATCCGGTCTGAAGATCTGGCGTTAAATATAATACTTAATGATTTGATATAGGGTCAGAACTTGGAGAACAAAGCGTTTCATCCCTTCTTAAGAATCCTTGGCACTCAACTTATTATTAGACTTAACAGCCCACAGTTCTCGATTAATTCTTTATGATGCTTTTAGTTCATGATAAAAATTATACAAAAGTTGCCTAGCTGCATCTGGCCCGAGTTCCGTCCATCCATTTACGATTCTAAAAACCTCGAGTCCGTTTGGAACCATGAAAGCAACAACAACAAAAACGACTAAAAAGAAATGACAAACAAAACAAACAAACCGAAAGTGAAAAGAAGCCTCGCTAACAATGTCCAGTTATCTTTAATCTGGCACTAGAGAGGGAAGTTTTATGGCGCACATTTCTTGCTCATCTTACAGGCAAGCACGTCCATTTGTTTGCCATCGCATCAGTCATTTACCACAGGTAAGATGCATAATTGAAACATAGCTAGTCCAGCAATCAACTCAAACATTCAACTTAATTCTATTTAGTCAATTCTTACCCGTATTTACAGCTGAAAAATGGCGTTTCCTTCTTCTTGTGTCTCTCTTGGTTGTATTCATTCTCTCACACAAAATACTCTTAACAGATTTTTTAACCTAATGAAAATTTAATTAAAAGAAGTTCGTCACTTCATCCATCTCGCCGATCATATATTTTCCTGCATTTAAGTCTGTAATAAGCAAATTGAGATTAACCTGCCGTTTGGGGATAAAAACTAACAGCTTGCAGGGTAAAACTGAGGTGACCACCGATTTCAGACGAACATTAGTTCAGTGGGTGTGAGATTTTTACAGAGGGCTTTCTTTCACTTTGGAACAACAAGTAACAAACCAAAAGTACCTTAGGAATTCATACGTTCTACTTGATACTGTAACTGCATAGTAAGTCGACGTTTAAAAACCTCGCCGACGTAAAACTATATCCACGCACCTTTTTTCCCACTTGCCTCACTTCTGAGCTTCAAGCATTTGCTTTTGAATACTTTAAGAACAAGTCTCTGTAAGAATCAAACATCTTGGGAAATGAAAATTTTCAACCCCCCTTCAAATTTTGCATGCAGTTAGGCACTCAGGGGGGATGCACAAAAATGCCCTTTTTAAAGGTCGCAGCACTCTTGTTGCCATGGTAACAACGGCTGCTTGTTCGAGGCCTGCGGCCTCATTTTCATACAAAAACGTCGCAAAAAAAGAGTGAAATGTTTATTTCTCTATCTCAAGCTAAATACAACATTACAAATTGGCACTTCTACCACACATAGTGACATCATTTGTCTTCACTTTGATTTATTCAATTTTCCCTGAGAGTGAATGTGAACGCACCAATAGATTATTCATGTCGGTACAATTTCGGTCATTTTTGTTGTCGGGTAAAACAGGGAAAACGTTTATCTGAAATTCTCCAAAAGTACACCGATTCTGGAACTGAAACTACCCACCTAGCTGGTTATAATATTCTAGCTTTTAAATATGTAAAAGTCTCTGCGGGCCTGCCTCTACTTTTTATGAGGGCCATTCGCGAAAAAAGCTCAAAATCAGATATTGCATAATTTGGCGATGTTGACATCTGATATTCTCAACAACAAATGTTTCAGACAAATGAAACATGCACGGCTTTGGAAGAATGTTATCTTATGAGCAATATCCCGAGGAGAAATCTCAACTCTGGTAGTCATCTTTTAAAAAAGAAATTGATCAAACTTCATGGAGGACTACTCGACGTAACTTTAAACATATACCTCAAATCGTGTGCATATCATCCAGATTCCGAGTGCTGCCCCTTCTTTCATGAAATTTGAGCAACCCGAAGTCCTCTGAAGATACACTGATATACTTGTACGTCATTTGAAAAATGTTGAAGTCGGCTGATCTACACTGAAGTATCCTCACACCGATCAATTGTCATAAACATGTACGTTATCACGATGGCGTGACGCTGCATTTCTCCATGAAGTTTCCATCGGTCGCTCCAAAAAAGACAGGAGATGGATATTTTTCATATATGTCAGCAGATTTGCGCTTTCTGTCTTTTCTTTCAAAGTGAAGACGAATGTATTGCTTAATATGTTATCTACTGCGCTAGCTAATTAAGGCCACAATTTTCAATTAATTAATACTAATCGCATAACGTGATGACGTCATAAACGGAATTCACTGCATTACGACTTGCTAGTCAGAAGAACTGTGAGACACCACTGGATTTTGAACGCGACTACTCCAAGCATGATTCAATAAAGGAGCTGTTTAAAACCGTGGACTGAGTTAATCTTCGACTGGCAAAATAACGAATGATGTCACTATGTATGGTAGAAGTGCCAATTTGTAATGTTGTATTTAGCTTGAGATAGAGAAATAAACATTTCACTCTTTTTTTGCGACGTTTTTGTATGAAAATGAGGCCCCAGGCCTCGAACAAGCAGCCGTTGTTACCATGGCAACAAGAGTGCTGCGACCTTTAAAAAGGGTATTTTTGTGCATCCCCCCTGAGTGCCTAACTGCATGCAAAATTTGAAGGGGGGTTGAAAATTTTCATTTCCCAAGATGTTTGATTCTTACAGAGACTTGTTCTTAAGTCTTTTTTCGCTCAGCTTTTTCACGTAATTTCAAAAGTCTATATAATATAAATACTATGGGTGTACAAGGAAAATCATAGGGAGCAATTCTTGGCCTTTCGAAGCTTATGATAAAAAAATAAGGACTTACCGAATCGTCTAAAATGCAGAAGCTCACAAATATGAAAACTCCTTGGAATGAATTCAAGATGGTGAATATGTAATGAAACACAGCTGTTGATGTAATGAACGTGAGAAAGCCAAACGACCACGTAATACCCAGAATTGGCAGCAGCATTGCAAAACGTCTCAACCAATCCTTCACGTGCTTGGCAGGTGTTTTGTTGTTTTTGGTTTTAGTCGCTCTGAGTATCCCACGAAGCAAGATAATTATCAGAATTGAGTTGATCTAGAGGCAAAAATTCACAAGAGGATTGATAAAAGAAGAAAAGATAGAAAAAAAGAAACAAAACAAAAAACAAATCGAAATCCTTCTTCTTGTCTCTGCTTATGAGTGTTTTGCCCTCATAGTTTACCATTCCTTTTATTCCTAAGATTTTCTTATCTCCGACTAAGCTTCTTAACCATGATGACATGCATAAAAAATCGTTTTGATTAAGCCAGAAAATATATATATGTTATTCACCAGACGGGAGATCCGTATTAGGAAAAACTGTGCCCGAGGTCTTGGATACCGCCTGAGGCCGTAGGCCTCGTATGGTACAAAACACAGAAGGCACAGTTTTTCCCAACACGGACCGACCTTGGCTGGTGAATAACATTCTTATTTTTTTTAAAAACCTAACAAATGGTTGCAAAAAGAACCGCCCGCTGTGAACGGGCCCGATGGAGAGAATATTGCCCGCTCTCGGAACAAATAAGATTGCAGGATTTGTAGAATACCGTCCACTCACGAGCTGAGAAAAAAATAAGATCAGATATTTTTTCGAAAAAATCCTCTAGTGCGATACCCTATATTAAACCTCATATTAAACGGTGTCTGCATAAAATATATCTTACACCATAAAAGGAGCTCCATTGTTAAAAGAGTATACTTACTAATAGGATTACGGCAACTGGAGCAACAAACGCCCAATAAATGAGCCAATGTTCTGTTGTAAGCCAACAGTTATTTGCTGCATAGGACTTGATTCCAGTTACTGTCAGAGAAATGGCCACTATTAGGACTGGAACACCTGGAACAGCCAGAAATGAATTAAGTATTAACAAAAGCAACTACAAAATTTTCTGACCCTTTTAAATGAGGCGTTACATTTTCGTGCTTAAAAACGTCCAATGTATATGGGGATAAAAATGTACTTGTTGAAGGAGTGATGCTCTTACCCCATCCTAGAGCGTAGAACCATTTCTTTTTCAATGCCAGAATTTCTGGCCGTTCAGCCTTTAATATCAGGAAGTACAACATAACACCATAACACAGCATCCAGAAAAATACAGACAGGAGGGAATAATGGAGTAACACTGCTGTTGTTGTGCATAACTCCTGTGAATGTAAAATATATCTATGAATAAATGAAAAATATTATATGATACGTAAAATTAAGCATGAATTTTGATTGGATCTTTTTTATGATCTGTTAAAGGAGAGAAGCACAGATGACATCACAAGTAAGACTGTTCTACTTCCTTATATTGAGCAAATCAATTCCATGCTGCAATGCCTCTGTTTTGTATTAGATCACAGAAAACTAAAGATGAATCACGAAAATCCATGACATACGGGTGCGCTCCTTTGCCTCCTTTCTGTTCTTACTTCATTTTTATCTCATATTTGATCTATTACTGAACAGCAGTACAGACGCATAGACACAGTTTTTTTAAAAACGAGTACCGAAACACATTTGATATTTACCTTTGGTCTTTCTGCTTTTCCAGCTATAATAATTAGAAGACAAGAAACCGAAATGGCAGCAAACAAATGCAGTAACATTGTTATCCGAAAACTTCTCAACTTTTTCCAACAGGTTAAGATTGTCACACAAGTGAGCACCAGAAAGAAAAGTGAACATGCGCAACCTACAGTAGAAATATATTTGAAGTACGGCTGATGACGAGGTTTTACCTGAAATGAAAACCAGAAAAAAACTATGTGGAAATTTTCATGAATTAGGCAACAAGTAGCAACAAGAAAAGAAAGAAGAATTTAAATAAGTGGAAGTTGTGTAATATATTAAGAGGTAAAAAATACGTTATGAGTATTTTATTTCGACATGAGACCAGTGACGAAATAGAAAAAAGTAACAAATAGTAAATCAAGGAGTTTTTGGCGAATTGTTTGCGATTCTAGTGAAAAAATAAAGAAAATGATCGAACAATGTCTATTTCAAAATATCGGACTGAAGAGAAACACTCACTGGCTTGTTGTTCAGTAAGACTGCAAAGATGGTTAAGTGATCACACTCGCACGTGGTTACACGCGAGTTTGACTCACGATCAACGCGAACACATCCACGCGTTAGCCACGTCCTCTGCAATTGGTCGATCTCCCAGAAAACGCACTGTCCAATCAAATCAGAACGCTGCAATGAAAGTGTTACGATTAAAACTTAGACAGCAGGATACGTTGCAAAAACAAAAAAAAAAAGAGATAATGCATGAGAATGATACTAAACTCTCAAAAAGCAACACCAAGCTGATTCATTTCCCCTATGAAATAATACCCTTTTTTCACTTGGTTTTTAGGACTTACTGTTCAAGAGACGCTATACCGGAGAAAAATTTATATTTCAGGAACCAGTGTCATAAAATTTTCCCTGGAACCTTTATGAAGTTGAATGATGACCTGATCTGCCAACAGCTATCACTGTGCTCAATTGGATAGGTATAGAATAAAAACGATTTATCGACGATTACCCTTATTAAGAACTGAGGTCTATTAATATTGTCCAGCAGCATTTTTTAACCCATAAAACTGACGGGAGTAGGTTTCCCATGCGCTGTTGTTGCAACTCGTATTACTAACAATACAAAACAATCAATACCTTGTTATTGTGATTAAAAGCCAGCTTGATAGGTTTACTCAGGGAACCAGATACACGATCATGAATAGTGACAGAAACAATGCTTGTGCCACTCCTCCGAAGCCTACCTCCGGCGCTCTGATTATTACTGGGTCCATCTACTGGAAGCCTAAGGACATTTTTAAGTGTTCTGTAGGCAATGGTGGACATGCGAGTTTCCATTATGTCCGAGATCGCTGAACCAGGAACAAGGATTGTTGCGCCATATTGAGCGAAGTCAACCTTCAACTAGGAATGAAATATACAAATACATATTCACTCAGACCGAAAGGTCACGAAATCAATGAAATATGTCATTAAAACCGATTCATAGTTACAGAAATGTTCCTGAATTAACTAACATTATGGTTCAAAGCAGTCTAAAAAGATTTTAACATCGACCTTTGACTTACCTCATGTTTTGGGTTCCAGCGATCAACTCTAAGAGCGATGTTTTTTGATAATAACTCCAATTTATTGGTTGAGTTACCAAGATTACTGCTCACTTGAAAAGCAAAGTCGTCCATAGTCTTCAGAAGTTTGTCAGTGATGTTTCCCCTTTTCTGGATTTTAATAAAGTCAAGCTTAAGATAATAAATTTTCTCTAGTGAATGCAAACAATCAGTGAAGGGGCATACGAAGGGTTCCAAAAATAGCCTTGCAAAATTTAAATCCATTTGTATTTTTGTCCATTAAAAATTAAACAGTCAGGTATTCTTAATTAACAAAAAGAGGGTTTAAAATCACTCAGGGAGATCTTGCTATAAGTATGTCATGTTACATAGGGTTCAGGCCGTTTGTTTGAAAAGCTTTTAGTACTCAACCGGGATTTAAATAATGATTACTCTTGGTCTAAATTTCTCTTATTTGAAGCTTCATTAGTGCCACGTTCCATTCTAGCGTATAGCAAAAATGAACCGAGGAAACAAAAAATAAACAAAAACAAAAGTAACATTTCACAAGAAGCTTGGTTTGCTAAAATATGCTTTGGACTACCCATGCCAGTCCTTGGCATCTCACCTTACCAAATGAAAAATTAAAAAAAAAAAATTAAATGTACTTCATCATGAGAACCACGGACTTATCCGACATATAATCATATAACTTGTGGAACTTGTTGTCTCTATAGAAGAATAAAGTGATGGCTAAAAGGCTGTTTACCGTTCTGTTTCAATCAAGAAACAGGAAAATACAGCTTGTGATAAGGAAATGTAACAAAGAAAAAGAAATTAAAACTTTTCTCAGGATCAGCAAAGTACCTCCTGCAACGGCAACCATGTTTTTATATTTTCCTCCTCCAGTAAATTACTTGCCACTTTCACGATGTTTTGTTGGTCTGATGTTGCACCGATCGCACTGTTGTTTTTCATCGAGTTGTACTGCACAATTTCTTTAAGCATATCCACGGAGAGAGAAAGTTCGCTTAGGTTGAGTTTAAGCTCGTCCCCAGTCTTTGTCAAATTGAGAAATTTTGTGATGACCGTGCTTAAGTTGGTGGAAGGGTAACTACCGGTAATAATGGCATCAACCTGGTCGACAAGTTAAGGGTGGTTAGAAAGAAAAAAAAAACATGATCGTTTCAAGATACACTTCTGTTCACGAAGATTTTATATTAGCGCTTCAAGGTTCGGAATGGTCAAGGTAACGGAATGCGACGTTACAAAAGGTAACATCATGGCAAAATATTTTGAAATGACAGTGCTAACTTGCTACCATTTTTAGGGAAAATAGCACGCTTCTAACCGACGCAAAGGGTTCTATTCTAAGTTTTGGAAAAAATCTCATATGGCGGCATTTTGAACACCATCCTGGCTGGGGTTGTTCCCATGGTGCGTTGCAGATCAATAATGACAAAGGCTTTCTTCTAAGTGTCTTAATCGAAGAAGGTATCCATTCGACAATTGCTCGGGATTTTTCGCTGGGAGAAAACCTGTAACGACTGTTTATTGATGAAAAAATTTCCATCTTGTAGTTTGATAGTTTTCCGGTGGGAAATTATCAAAGGAACAAAATAGCCTCTAAAACAGAAGCTTCGACCGATGTATTGGACTCTGTTTTTCCGGCTCACGTCCAAAACAAATCGAACTTTGTACTAGCTTAGAAAACGCCCAAGATTTGTATACCTCTAGCTGTAGATCTGTAATTAGGTTTGATTGCCCTGTTGATTAACATGAGGTAATATGTGAATATAAAATCATACATGCTTACATATTTTTATTGTTATAGATTTAGTAACTGTGGTGGTAAAAGGTAGCAGTACTTTAATCTTAGTTTCCGAGTATGTCTTGTAGGTCAAAATGTAAAAGTCTTATTGGAAATTTCTTTTGAAATTTATTGGGGAAAGAAAACCCCAAGGAAATGAAAAAGCAAGTGGTATAGGTCACTTAAAATCGTTTGAGTCTAACCTCTGACGCATCGCAACTTTGGGAAATTAAAGATTCTCCAAGAAAGTCTTTCTTTATTTTTGTCTCTTTTTGTATAAAGAAATAGTTGTACAACAATATAATTACCGTTTTTAGCATCTGAACTTCTCAATAGATTAAGAAAGATGTTTTTTCGTCTTGTCTCAGAATTTTTCTTCATCTCACGCTCGTGACAAGACGAAAAAACATCTTTCTTAATTCTTCACCGAGCTCAAAACTTACCATCTCTACTATTTCTTCTCAATAGATGTTTACAGCATCTGAACTTGTCAATACATTTAAGTTCATGGCAGTTACTTTTGTAGAAACCGGTCATGTAATAACCATTCTTCTGGCATTCACTCCAACCTTTGTTGTTGAATGAAATAGCGACATCTTCATCGTAACAGTCTGCATAACTGCTGGGATGATCCATTGGATGGCAACATCTTGCCTCTTCGATGTTGTTCAAAAATGATTGCAAGGGGGGATAAGATCCTGTTCTGATGCCATTCATGTAAAAGCCTTTTGGACACAAAGCCCAGACATTAAATCTGAAAAAAAGAAAGAAAACAAAAATAAACTGTGTCTGAAATTTTTGGGTTTTTAATTTTTTGGGTTTATTACTTTTGGCGAAATTCGCGAAGAAACATTAGTTTTTGTCCCCATTTGGCTATTAGAAATTGGCGTTTTGGGCAAGTTTTTATCTTTACAGGGTTCTCCTTTTTCTTTTTAAGGAATGTGTATCAAAATCTTATTTTATGATATTTGTCTCTGAGTTTCCAAAGTATCAGTTTGTCCGAAGTTTGTTCCAGGTGAGCAATTGGTTGTTTTCAACTTGTAATCAATCCTTTTAAAGTTGAAACTAGACACAACGTCCGCATAGTAGTTTTACGCCACCATATTTGAAATTTTTTTCATGAAGAGCTTGGCTCACCCATTCAACGTGCGTGACCAGTTTGCATTTACACATCTTGAAGGCTGACCGGCGTAACGCGGCTCCGCAGCATCACAGCATCTTCCTTCTTCAAGGCGTCCAACTCTTTCATCTCCGGTTTTGTGTGGACTCCTCCAGAATCCCCTTAGGTAGGTGTTATTTCTTGGACACACCGACCATCTCGAGGGCCTATCCAAGCTTACCCACCAATTGGCGTTGTTACATCCCTCGCTCAAGACACGATGAACCATAACAAATATCAGCACCAAACTGATCAAATGAATGATGAACACAAATTGCATCCTACTTTCACTTTACCTCGATGTGACACTGCAAAGAGAAAGTTCATTGCTATGACTTAACTTTAGGGAAGAAATCTCTTAATCTCTTAATGTCCTTTGGTATTTTTTACCTAATTTGTGCCAGAAATCAGTTCCTTGACTCAACTCTCTAGGTCAACCGTAACAATTGAAGCTCATTTAGGCATTATAGCGCATAGCGAGGCCCTGTTTACTAACTTTACTATGGGATGAAAAATGATAACGTTTAATAATCGTAGTGTTGTTGTTTTCAATGTCAATGCTTTTTTTTTTCGCTTTTTGTGGCTACTGCCTCCTATAGGAGGCGAAGCCACAGTTGTCGTCGAATTGAGTGAGTGAGTGAGTAAATAACAATAGTGACAATAGAATTCCGATCTTTACCCAAGTTTGACCCGATGTTTCTCGGTGCTACTTATTTTTTGTTTTGGAGTACTACATAAGACGATAAACATTTACAATCATTTCAGGATGACGTGTGAAAAAAAAAATACTGCTTTTCCTTGCAGAAATATCTAAAAGGTGTCATCGACGCATCATGTAAACGTACAGGAAACATTTTTTCTTTGAAAAGAAAGTGTAACCGAAGTCACGCGTAATTGTGTTCATCATTTGAAGTCTCACAAAAATGGAATTGCAAGGAATTAAAAGAATATAATTTATACTTAATAGGCAGACCTAGAGGAAGCATAGTTTAATCATGATGGGATCCTAAAGGATAGACTGATAGAGCTAGCCCCTATAAATTATCATCACTGTCGCTATTATAATTATCATTATAATTCTTATTATTAGTAGTATTATTATTATTGTTAATATAATTATTTGATACTATTAAATTAGTGGTTGAGAGTCAATTAGTCTCTTTTTTATTGAATCATCTTTCTCTTGTGGAGCAAGATACTCTTCATAAATATGTGGGATGTGGCAGGTTTTCTGTTTGGCATTTGAGACAAATCTTTAAGACTTCCTTCTGGCATCAATATGCAACTGGTAGCCACATGCACTCTCAAACTACTTATTTTCTTGTTTCTCTTGAGGTAAGTTAAGCACACGCGACAGAAGACAAACGACACACAAAGTGAAAGAAAAGCAATATCGAAAAGTGGGCTATCACAAGGTTTGCAGGTTGCCGCATATATGTTTAAAAAAATTTCGCTCGTTGTTGCTATGAAAGGTCAATTTTCCTCCGAACGCTTATGGATCGGTTGTTGCTGAAAAGGAACGCGAGAATCCTTGTGAGCATTTCGAAGAAGGTGAAAATGTTGATCTACTACGTTTTAATCCATTCATCAATTTTTCTCATTGAAGTTTACCGTCTTTGTTAAATAGGACTAAGGATCAGTTGAAGTTTCCTCCCGTGGAGAGGATCTTGCGCTCGAAAGAGTGGTCGAGTTTGTTGTCCATCCAAAGCAGCAAATAAGAACTGTAACGCAAACTGTCAGTGTCGCTGACGTTCCTGCAATGAAGTGGCTAAACTTAAAATAATTAGACGTCCGGCAGTCCGACATTTTTCCATATTTCTCTTCAAAATCCAAAAAAAATTTATACAAAAATGTTCTACCTTTATTTTCAATCCTCAAGCGCTTCCAGGCAGCCTAAAATTTCGAACTTGATGTTTTTCGCTAACCCTGTATACAAAGTATGAAGCCATCCAAGCGCTCGACACTTAAAAACTTTTCAATGACACGGCTGAACACAGTCCTCAAATAACTCCATTTTTTCTCTTTGAAATATACCAATTTTTCGTTGGAAAATATTCTACCTTCATTTACAATCCTCAAACGCCTCTAGAAAGTTAAAAAATGCCAACGTTATCCGTTTCGCTGACCTTGTACACCGAGTGCGAAGAGATCCAAGCGTGACACTAAGAAAATTTTCACCGGACACTACTGGACACGGTCTTCGAATAACCAAACGTCCGGCAGTTTAATATTTTTCCATATTTCTCTTTGAAGAATACTAATTTCTACTGGAAATATTTTATCTTCATTCAGAATCCTCAAGCGCCTCTAGAAAGGGAAAAAATTTGAACGTTGTCCTTTTCGCCGACTCTGTTCACAGAGTACGAAGAGATCCAAACGTGACACTTTTCTTCGGATTCTTGCGGACAAAATTCAAAATACTGTAAGGAAACTGACGGACGGCGAATGTATTTACCGCAAAACAGTTGAATATATGTCCAGGATGGCTCTTGAGAAAGACGATTTTAGAAGGTTTTCAGTGATCTGGGAATTTGGTGTTAAAGGAAATTAGGTCGTGGCGCGCGTTGCATTAAGGTTGGAAATGGGCCTTTAAGTTGGTAAATTCTGTAAAGACATTACGTATACACCAACCAACTCGCCCACAAAGCGAGAAGACTCTAGGAAGGCTTGAAATTATATAAAGAACGTCTGTGATCGAGAAACGAGCAAGGAATATTCCACAATAGTGCAAATAATCGTAAAAGATGATCACGAAAAAGCGATTGCGTGACGCTTGGTAAGTTGTAAGATGACATGCCATCACGTATCAAACAAAAAAACAGTCTGAATTCTCAGTCTGCATTTTGTACTGGCTGGATTGGTATTACTGTTTTTGTTTGAGCGAGCCTCAAGTCTGGACCGAAATAATGGTGCTCGAAAGAAAATTTTAGATTATCTTTGCCGCTATGATTGATGTGTTGACTGTATGTTGAAGAGCTACCGAGGACAAGCACAATGATAGAGCAATACCAACTATACCAACTGAAGAAGAGCGCAAATTTGCCGCTTGCCAATATTGCTGCCTCTGATGCTGATGCTCTTCTGCATGGTCACGGCGTGTTTTGAAATGAACCCGCTACGGGTCCTCTAGGTGTGAATATTTTGGCTTTTCGACTCAAGTTGCATTTTAAGAAATTCGGAAATGTGATTTAAGGTTATCATTGTTTTTTAACCATACACATATTTTATTTCTTTCCACGTTAGTTTATGAGCTTCATCGAAATTAATTTTGACTTTCACTAAGTGGGGAGGGGAAGCATGCGAGACTCTTCAGTTCACGGTCCACGGAATGCAACTTCCGTCCACGGTCGACAACTTCCGTCCACGGTCGACAACTTCCGACGGGAAGTTCTGAACACCTACGCAAACAGGAACACGTAACCACTCCATTTTAGGAATGTTGCAAGGTAAATACTTATTAAGATATTTGCTCATTCATTCACAAGGAACCTACGAAGACAGTCTTAAAGTTTTTATATTTGAATTCAGAGCTGTGGCAACTAGAATTTACATTTCTGTTTGTCGTCAAGTAACTGCGAAATTATTTTATATTGTCTTTCTTGATCTACTGTCGTAAGTTACGTTTCTATTCAATTGAGTTCAAGTTTTTGCGTGAGGTTGTGTAAGAATCACGTAACCGGCAGTAGCGTTTTATTTCTTGCCTGTAGAAAGCGTTGTCTTCGTTAGATAATTTTCATTGCTAGATGATTCCAACCAAGTCAGTCGTTTCGTTAATTTTTGCTAGCGCCGTTTTAGTTTTGTTAAGAGTTTCACTACCGAACCTGGTTACGCCACAAATTGTAAGTTCGTCTCTATTTCATGTAGCTTTGTCATTATCCTTGTTGTTGTTTGTATCAATTATTTATTTTCAGTCGAATCACATTTACACATCAACACAGTTTTACATCTAAATATTTGTTTATTTGGAAGTGAGATTAAACGTGCATTCATGTTGTGGCGCAAAACATGTAGTATTTAGCTAAAAGAGCAAAAAAGCTTCATGATATTGTATCAAATGGCGACGTATGTTTTTCTTTTTAAACATGAAATAAAGAAATCCAAGGGACATTAGTTATTATCAGACAGAAATAAAAAATCAAGCAGTGACAGTTTCAGCTGGCGCATGGAAGTCCAGCCATTCATCAATTAGACTCCGATTTCTTAATTTTATATTATATTATGTAAACTTTAGCTCCCAAAAGTTTGGAAGGACTCCAAATGAAATTATAAAAGAAAAAAATTAAGGCTTCCAACTTACCTGAGACGCGGTTTGGAGCTTGTGCGATGTTGTGCGACAGTGCTTAACATGAATGTCCTTAAAAAGTACCTTCCAATTCCCTAAAAGTACTATTATATTGTTACAGGAAGTTGTTCTTTAAATTCCAATTTGATAACAACACTCTTTGGGAATTGGGTGGGGTGGTAATGGGTGGTGATGATCGAAACAAAAACTTAGATGACTCAAATCATGACGTTAAACTTTAACGTTATGATTTGGGTCATGCATGACGCCATAGGTTTTGTTTATTCTGAGAATAAACGAAACCTGATTCAAATTTTTCCGAGTTGAAAAGTTGCCAAAATGGATATTAGTACTAATTTCACACAATCTAATATGTACAAGTTTTAGTTAATTTATTGTAAACGTTCACAGTTGCTACGTAATGGGCCAAGACAAGGCCTACACTAGGACCTTAAGTCGCCGTAACTTTAGGCGACTTTGGGCGACTTAAGGCGACTTTAGCAAAATTGGCACAAAAAATATTGCGACTTTAGGCGATTTAAGGTGACTTAAGGTCTCAGAGTAGGCCTTAGACAACAACATTTTCCAAATGATATCACGCCAGAATAACAACCATTTATTGTGAAATTCTTGTAAAATCGAATTGTTACAGGAAGTTGTTCTTAAAATTCCAATTTTGATAACAACACTCCTTGCGCATTAGGTGGTAATTATCAAATTATCAAGGTCATGACGCCATAGGTTTTGTTTATTCTGAGAATAGATATTAGTACTAATTTCACACAATCTAAGATTTAAAAGTTTTAGTCAATTTATTGTGAACGTTCCGAGTTGCTCCGTAATGGCCTAGGCAACAACATATTCCAAATGATATCACGCCAGAAAAACAATCATTTATTGTGAAATTCTTGTAAAATCGAACTCATTAGATTATCAGCTATGTCCATGAGGAATATAAGCTAACTGCAGTGGCCTTGTAACCGCAGATATGTTATGGA